AGTTTTACCTCTAATCTTACTCTAACCACCGCTCTACTATTAAATAGAATATTACCCTAACTACAACCCTGATCCTACCCAGTCCTAACCAAAAGATTCATCATTGTTACCATAATTCTAGATAAACCTTTATAGATTGAAGTGTGTCCTATCAAAAGACATGCTGAAGTCCTAACTGCTGGTGCCTGTGAACATGACCTTGTTTGTAAATAGGGTCTTTGAAGATGTTCTCAGTTAACATAAGGTCATACTGCAGTAGGGTGGGTCCTAACCCAATCTGACTGGAGTCCTATAAAAGAGGAGAAGGTACACAAGTGACAGACAGAGGGAAGATGGCCACATGACAGTGGAGTTATGCTGCAGCTATAAGTCAAGGAATGCCTGGGACTACCAGAAGCCAGGGAGAAGAAAAGATCTTCCCCTAGAGTCTTCAGAGGGAGCATGGCCCTGCTGATACCCTGAATTTGGACTACTAGCCTTCAGAACTGTGAAAGAATAGATGAATGCTGTTTAAGCCACCCCCTTTGTGGTGCTTTGTTATAGCAGCCCTAGCAAACTAATACACTCACCAGCCCAGAGGTGTCTGCACTGGATCGAGGGTGGCAGAGGGAGAAGGCTTGCCTCTCTCCTCCCTCTGGCTGGAAAGGAGTGCTTCAGACCCACTGGTCACTCTAAGGGGTCTCTGCTGGGGCAGGGATCTGTTGGGCCAGCAGGGAGTTGAATGCAGAGGGGCCCTCCGCAAACCGTCTACACTCCCAGCGTCCCCTGCAGGGGTGGTGGCAGTGATAAGGAGTTCTCAGCTGAGATGCAGGTCTTTCTCCCCATCACCAACTCTCCTCAAAAATCAGCAGCAGGGCTTCTGTGACTTCAGACTAGGGAAAATAAAGCCCTTCCCATTTGGTCTGGCTGGAGGTCTACGAGTGAGTATCCACCTCTGATGACTCCCTTTGAGCCCTCCCTCTTCAAACCCATAGCCCAGGGAAGGGGACTCATGGGTCTCTTCCAAGGCCTGAGAGAGGGAAAGAACTGGAAAGAGACCCCTTTATAGCTGCTGCAGCCCCTCACCATTCTCCTGGCATTCCAAAGGGTCTCCTAAGCAATGGCACCACTAAGAGGGTGTGGGGTGTGGTGCGGACCACACCGGGTGACACTGTCAAAGGGGGTAACACTAAAATGACTGTCCATAAATTTTTTGTGCGGTGCGAGCCGTGGGCGCTGGTGCGTAAGATGCTGGCGGGCCCCAGGCTGGGCATGGGCACAGGTGAGTGCGCTGTGGCGCAGCTGGGCCAGATGCTGGTGCAGGAGGAGGCAGCCGATGGGCACTGGGTCCTAGGGTATGCAGCCTGAGGGGCTGAGGCCGTGGTGCATGTGGCACAGGAGCACCTACAGGCAGCGGTGCCGGGGGCCCTGGGGGCCTGGCTGGATTCTGTATGGTCTGGTATGGGAGGAGTTCCCTGGGGGGGTGACACCATGAGTTACCGCACTGGGTGACACCAACTCTATCGACACCACTGCTGCTAAGCCCTGCTCTTACTACACTCCAGCCACCTCCAGGAGAGAAGCGTTACCCTTGGGTTGCCCTGGCTTCAGCCACCCAAGGCCAAGGGCTCTGAGTGGGCAGGGACCTGGGCTGGGAGAGCCCCTTCCTGATCAACAACGTGCCAAAGGATGGGCTGAGTGTCAGCTTTGAAGGGAATGGACTCGCGATTCTTTGTTCCAGGATATGACAGGGATGTACGGCCAGGATGTTCATTCACTGTGTATTTAGTGGGTGCTTACTATATGCCAGGCAGTGTTCTAGGAGCTTAGGATAGATCAGCGAACAAAGAAAGATCCCTGCCCTTGAAGGGTCTACTTGTAGCTGGGGACAAACAGACAATAAGCAAGAAACATAATAAATAAGTAAATTGTGTGCTACGTTGGAAAGTGGTAAGTACTATGGAAATAAGAAGTGAAGCAGATGGGGGATCTGGAGTTGGGGGCTTACAATGTTAAATATGGAAGTCAAGGAGGGCCTCATTAAGGAGCTTCTTCAAGAAAGTGATCCCCATGTACATACAAGGTACAAGCAAATATCCAGGCCACTGTCAGGACAGCTAAGTAACAACAATAATAAATATTTGCAAGTCACCGTTTACAAAGCACTCTTTCACACACATCATTTTAATTAATTCTCACAACATCCCAGTGACATAAGAATTATCCTTCCCATTTTACAGACAGGGATATTAACACTTAGTGAAGTTGAGGTCATAATGTCAGCTAGTGACAGAGCTACAAAACCAGAATTAGGTCTCCTGATTCTAAGTATATTCAAAATAGTCTTTCCAAGGTTCTAAGGGCTGAGGATAGGAGCAGTTGTGGCTGAGTGGTAGAAATCCTGCCTTCCATGCAGGAGACCTGGGTTCGATTCCTGGCCAATGTGCCTCAAGCACAGCCAGTACTGGTTTGTTAGTGGAGGCTTGCATGTTGCTATGATGCTTAACAGGTTTCAGTAGAGCTTCCAAATTAAGACAGACTAGGAAGAAAGGCCTGGTGACCTACTTCTGAAAATCCTATGGAGCACAATGGTGTGATCTCGTTGTGCATGGGGATGGTGCAGGGCTGGGCAACATTTTGTTCCCTTGTTCATGGGCTTGCCATGAATTGGGGTGGGCGGACCAACTTGAGGGTAGCTAACAACGACTATAAGCATTGAGGAATTCCAGAAAACTCCAGGAGGGAAAGCTTGGGGCTCAGAGTAATAAAACCAAAATTATTTTAAAAGGCTAGATGGAAAAAAAACAGGAATGGATGGAAGGAGCCAGCACCCAGAGACCAAAAAGCTTCACTCAGGATTCTGGGGGTTGAGTAACCCAGCAGGGAGGGACACTCAGTGGCCAAGCGGAAGGGGCTGACACAGCACAAAGGATGCTGGCTACTTAACCCCCTTGTAGCCTTGCCTGGAAGGATTCAAGGCCAGACTGCCAGGGACAGCTAAGGCCCACCCTAATGAAAGGCATCTCGTGTCTTTGTCATAACTTTAGAAATGGGCAAAGGGAGGAGTAAGCACATTTCAATATCAGGTACAGGAAATGACCAAGCCAGAGGCCAGAATCTAAGACCATTAGCTCTTGACCTTAGAGAAGATCCACTCTATCCCTCCAATTTACAAATGTGGAAACTGAGGCCCAGGGAGGGTAAGGGATTTTCCCAAGGCCTCCAATCATGAGTTGGTCTCTGCATGTCCCTGATGGAGTAGAGAATGGTCTTGGGTCCAAGGGGCTTGAATGAGGAGGGAGGACAAATAGGGGATCATGTTGCCCAAAGGAGCCAGCAGAAGGCACATGGCAGCCTGCTGAAGCCTAGAGCAGAGGAAAGGAGTGGGTGGAGGTGGCTGGAGCAGGAGCCAGGCTCAGAGGGCCTTCAGACTGGCCTGGAGTCAGGATCTCCTGGGTGCCTGCGATAGGCCCATAGTGACCTGTCAGCCTGCAGTCAGCTGCTAACTTTCATCCTGCCTCAGCTTCCCCAACTGTAGACACAGGCAGTGAGGGGGAGAAAAATCCATCCCGGCAAACGTGGTGTCCCCCACTGAGTTGTCACAGGCACAGGGACAAAGCAGGTAGGATAAAAGGCTTAGCATTTATTGGGCCTACTGTGTTGCAGACAACCCGCCAATCACTTTACATGCATTATTTCAATTAACTCTCGCCACCACCTATGAGATAGGCATTCATTTCCCCATTTCAGAGGCTAAGAAACTGAGTTTCAGTGAGATGAAGCAACTTGCATAACTAGTTTGTAAGACCTCCAGGGTTTAAATTCTGCCTAACACCAAAGCCCAATGCCCTGTCCTCATCACACAGACCACATGCACGCACGCGCGCGCGCACACACACACACACACACACACACACACACACACACACACACACACACACACACACACACACCCCAGAGCTGCCTCCTGCACCTTGCTGCCTGAGCCAGCAATCAGTCTGCACTGCTCCCCTATATCAACACCATCGGGCCTCCCTCCGGAGCTCTGGTGGCACAGTGGTTAAGCACTTGGCTGCTAACCAAAAGATCGGCAGTTCAAATCCACCATCCACCCCCTGGAAACTCTATGGAGCAATTCTACCCTGTCCTGTAGGGTCACTATGAGTTGGAATCCACTCGACGGCAATGAGTTTGGTTTTGGTTTGGGCCTCCCTCCTTCCTGTCAGTCAAGCCCGAATCCTGAACCTAGGTTCATAATATCAGAAGACTTGTCCACAGCGGCCCTGTAGGAAGCCTTGTCCTGTGTTATCGATTGAATTGCATCCGCCTAAAATATGTATTGATTTCGGCCAATGCTGTTATGATATAATTGTGTGATTAGATCAGTTGGTCCTGGGTAGACTAGATTACCTTCCATAATGCAGTGCAATGTAATATAATCAGTCAGTTGAGGTCACACCAGTGTGGGGTAGATCCTAAACCTAATCACTTCTGAGTTATAAAAAGAACAAAATAGACACAGAGGCATGTGCACACACACGGGGGAAACGGATACCATGTGAGGATCACCAAGGAACCACAGAATGCCCAGAGCTGACAACAACGAAGGAATCAACACCACTGAGACCCGGATTTGGACTTTTAGCTTCCAGAATAGTGAAAAAATAAATTTCTGTTCTTTAAAGCCACCCACTTGTGGTATTTCTGTTACAGCTGCACTAGGAAACTAAGACATCCTGTATTGTCCTCCCACCCTTACCCCCAAGCCCCAGGTTGCTGGTGTTGGGGGCAGGAGACACATTTACAAGTGGACTCACCATGCTGGGTGTCTGTTCCCAGCTGCCTTCTCCCCATGGCACCTAGTTTCTGATGCTGGGTCCCCAGTCTCCTTTCTGTAAGATAGGGGGTGCTGTCTTCCTCATCCCTCTTACCCCCAGGGATGCCTGGGTCTCCCCTGCAGTGGCTCCTGGTTTGTGATCTACTGAGAGGATGCTCTGCTCCCCCTGATTTGTAGAGATAACCCACTTGGGGGCAAAGTCCTCATATCCCCCACAGGGAAAGCCACTCCCATAGACAACCCACGGGCTCACTCTCAGCAACAGTAGGTTAAAGTCACATGTCAGGTAGTGCCAAGAGGGCCCTGGGTGGAGGGAGGTGTGAGGCCTGAAGAATGCTGGGGTGTGAATGAGGCTGGGGTCTTGCTTCAGGGCTGGGAAGGGGCTGCTCTGAGGCAGAGCGTTCCACAGCCTCTCCCAGGGTGAGCACCCACATGCAGGCACACACTACACGTGAGTTCAGTATCCCCGGCACTCACCACTCAAGACAGGCCTTTTGGCAAGAGTTGCACTGGTGCCACCTGCCCTTCTTCCCTCTCCCCAAAGGCGGAAGAGCAGAGTGGCCAACGGCACAGGCTCTGGAGTCGCAGGCTGTGGGAGAGGGAACAAGTGAAGTCACCTCTCTGAGCCTTTCCTCATCAATAGAATGGGAACCCTTGGGAAGCTGTTGTAGAGACTCCTGAGAAGTAAATGAGCTTGCTCATTCAGCAAATATTTACTCAACACCGACTCTGGGCTGAGGGATGTTCGAGGTGCTGTGAAGAAAGTGAACAAAAATCCCTGTCCTCCCAGGCCTGAAATTTTACTGGGTTGAAAAACAATACATCAAATAAATAAATAAAATATATACGATGTTATATATTGGGTTTGCTCCTTAGCCAGACCCGAGGTTCTAGAGGATGAGCCTTAGGGACATCCTAAGCAGGCTTGGACAATATTTGAGCAACAAAGGGCCTGGAGTACAGTGCTGGGCAGGGCAGGAAAATAGCCAGGTGGGAGATAAGGATGTTTGGGTGCATGCATTTTAAATCTGGTGAACACAGAGGGCCTCATTGAGAAGGAGACGCCTGAAGGGAAGTGTTATGGATTGAATTGTGTCCTCCAAAAAGATATGTTAAGTCCTAACCCTGTACCTGTGAATGTGATCCTGTTTGGAAATAAGGTCTTTGAAGATGTTATCAGTTAGGTTAACATGAGGTCATGCTGGAGTAGGATGGGTCCTAATCCTATATGACTGGTGTCCTTAGAAAAAAAGAGTGGATCATAGAGACAGGGAGGCAGAGGAAGGATGCCATGTGACACTGCAGTCCTTCAAGGGTCAGTGAGAGGGACACGGAGAGGAGAGAGGCCAAGAAGAGATCAGAAACGTGTGGCTTCCACCTGCTGTAGCTGGCTTTGAAGATAGAAGAAGGGGGCCACAAACCAAGGAACGTGGGCAACCTCTAAGGAACTGAATTCTGCCAACAATCTGAATAAGCAAGGAAATAGATTCTCCCCTAGAGCCTCTGGAAAGGAACATAGCCTCCTGACACCTTGATTTTAGCCCAGTGAGATTCATGCCAGACTTCTGACCTCCAGAACTGTAAGGGAATAAATTTGTGTTCTTTTAAGCTGCTAAATTTGTGGTCATTTGTTACGGCAGTGATAGAAAACCAGTACAGTGGATAAAGAGGTGGGATGTACAGAGAGAAGAAAATCCAGAAGATGAGGAAGAGACTAGGCTGGTAAAAAGGCTGACCCATGAGCCCAATGAGAAGATGGGGGAAACCTCAACCAAGTGAGCTGCTTTGGGGTTGAGGTTGGGGGTACTGTCAGGCCATCCCAACACATATGCAACCCCTCCCCACAGCTGAAGCTTGGGGATCAGCCTGCAGAGAGCCACCACCACAGGGCCCACGGCTTCCCAGACATCCGCCTGACATCCCTACCTGCCCTGCCCAGCACCACCCTCCAGGTCCCCCGTTGCCAAGTATTGTCCAAGCCTGCTTAGGATGTCCTCAGGGCTAAGCCTCTAGGACCTTGGGTCTAGGCTAAGGAGCAAACCCAGTGGAGGTCCCTTTCACTGACTCCCCACATGCAAGGCTGGAAAGAATGGTCCTGGTGGAATAACCATACCCAAGCCAGCCAAAGCCACTACTTGTGCAGAATGTGCTAGTCACTCTTCCCCTGAGACTACGTCTGGGGCTCCCACTTCTCCCCAGAGCAAGTCTGTACCCACCCCTACACACACACAGTTTTCTCTGTCTGTTCTTGGCCACCCACTGCCTCCCAACTGCCCAAGTCCTCATGGCGAAGAGAACCAGCCCACTGCTGGCAGCTCCTGTCAAGCACCATACTAAGTGCTCTACTCACATGATCTCATTCAGGGCTTCAAACCGGTTCGTTCTGGTTTGAACCCCTGCTGAGAATTTGTATTTCCACCCCAGATATACTGAATCAGAATCTATATTTTAACAAGACCCCCAGGCGATTCTTATATATAATAAATTTTGAGAACCACTGCTCTGCTAGTGGTTCTCAGAATTGGTCCCTAACCAGCAGCATTAGCATCGCCTGGGAACTTGTTAGAAAGGCAAATTCTCAGCAGGGATCGAACCAGAAAGAACCAGTTCAAAGCCCTGATCTCATTTAATCCTCCGTGCAGTCCTATCCAGTGAAGACCGTTGGTTCAGAGAGGATAAGAAGCTTGCCTAATGCCACACAGCTGGTAAGTGGTAAATGTAAAATTGGAACCCAGGATTGTCTGAATCAAAGACCAGGCTCTAACCCTCATTACTCAAGGTGTGGTCTGCAGACCAGCAGCATCGGCTATCACCTGAGAGCACGTTAGAGATGCTCACTGCAGACCTATTGAATCAGAAGCTTCTTGTTAACAAGATCCCAAGTGATCCCAAGTAATTCACATGCCCATTGAAGTAGCAAGAGCACTGATCTAAATTGCTATTTTCCAAAGCCTGCTAGTCCCAGGTTCTTGTAACTGCCCCCTTCTACCCCAACTCTCAAAGTCCTTTTCTAGCTGCCTGGCTCTTGCTCCCCAGGTGGGGCAGGCTTTCTGCCCAGTCTTGGAGAAGATGCCTGGGCCTGGGGCTCAGAGGGCATCCCAGGCCCCTGTAGCCAGCCCAAGCCACAGCTGGACAGTGTCAGTGCACATCTGACTCTCTGTAGGGGCTCTGACTGCTGCCTGGGACTCTCCTGGCCCCTCCTCCTCATCTCCCTTTCGGACACAAATCTCTTGGCCTCTGACCATCACCAATCCTGCAGTGTCTCCCCTCCCCACATAACCTCTCCCCACCCCCCAATGCCCTCTGCGTCATGTCACTCCCTCTATCTGGACACGAAGGGCCTTTCCAAGTTGCTATCAGGAGAGAGGCCAGGAGTTACTTGGGAAACCTGGCCAAGCGCACAGGAAATGTCTGACACCACCAGGCAAGCGGGACTTGGCCTCCCAAAGCAAAACACAGCTGGGCCAGCAGCGGGGCCCACTCGAACTTTTCCAGATTTCATGGCACTGAGGCCCCAGGGCAGAGGGAGACTGGGCTGGCCTGGAGGTTGCAGCTCATTAAGAACATCACAGTAGCCCCTGGCCAGGGAGCCTGTGAAACTGAAGTGGATAGACCTGCCATGGCTGGAGATCTCACCCAGAGCCTTTGCCTCTGCACCTCATGAAACCTTCCCTGGGAGATTTGAAGGCTCACCTCCATTTCACTCCATCCTCCTTCCTTCACACTCTCCTTCTCTCCCCAGCATCTAGTCGCATTCATTTATTCATTCAACGTATGTTGACTGAGCACCGACTACGTGCCAGGCACAGTGTTAGTATCAGGGATAAATGAATGAACAAGAAGGACATAGTCCCTGCTGTCGGACCTCCTGATACAGTAGGGGAGATAGTCAGCAAATGAACACTAAGGAAGAATGGAGCACCATGGGAACTGGCAGGAAGCTGCACAACCTCTTGCACTCTGAGCAGCATGTGGGGTTCTGGGTATGGGTTGGAGTTCAAGGCTAACTCTTCAGTTTAGACCAGGCATGAGATAGCTAATATGAATTCAGCACTTCCTATAAGCTAGGCAGGCACTGTGGCAGGAGCTCTGAGGAAATCCAGAGCACAAGACGGAGTCCCTGCCTCCGAGGGCACGGGCCACCAAGAATCTAAGTGTAGATGCAGGACACAGACACACAGGGATGAGCACCAAGTGTGTGCTGGAGGCAACAACTGCTGCAGGGGTCAGATAACAGGGCTGACAGCTTGGGTGGGGGAACTTTTTGGAGGAGGTGGGACTATCTGATTCAAGAGTGTAAGGGAAGAGTGACTTGACAAGCAACCGCTCCCCAACACATGCACGCACACACCTCATGGATCAATCCATTATGAAATGAAGGAAGATCACAAACCAAAAGACAGTTTGTAGGGGAAAACCCAGCTGGAAGTACCCTGCTCCCACCCTGCCCCTGGCTGGCCTTCAGATCGCCCCTCTGGTGCTCCTCCAAGTGTCTTCACTCCAGGCAGATCCACCTCAGACATGCAGCTGGGACCATCAGAACAGGCTCAGGCCCTGCCTACGCTCACAGCCCTGCCCACTGTGTTGTCCACCAGGCCCCTGGGTTGTGTCCCTTGTTTCTACCCCAACATCCCCAGGCCTTCGTCACAGGGGTTGGCTCTTCTGGTTTTGATCCTGGAGCTGCAAGGCCTTGACCTGAGACCATCTTTCAGCTTTTCCTGCTCTCGGCTGCCCTCAGCAAACTGCTTGGGTGCTCAGGGCCCTGGAACTCCACCCTACCAACACCCTGGTCAGCCTGGCCTCACCCCCTTTCAGAGGAGCTTGGCAACCTCATTCTCATTTTCCTCCAACTCAGCCAATCTCTTCTGAGCTTACCCTCTGGGGACCTGAACTCAAGGTCAGCCTCCTCTCCCTGGTTCTCCTGGCCTTTGAGGACACATCTTTTTCCCCTTAGTTCAGTGAGACAAGGTTGCAATATTTCAGAAAAAACTTCCTAAGTAGGAAACGAATGGAAAAACCAAACTGAAAAACCAAAAGGAAAACACAGCCCCTAGAAATGGACCAGTTTACAAAATTCAGATTTCCTGTCCTGAGTAGAAAAAGTCTAGCCAGATTGGCTGCCAAGAGGCCAGGAAATTTTGCCCATAAACACTACCCTTGCCCACTTTTTACTCATCGCTTCCCCCCACATGCTCCTCCTCTTCCCCTCCAAGGAGAGGTTGCAGTGGGTGAACTACAGGGTCTTTGTCTGGCAGAAGGACCCTTCCTCCATCACATAGACCACAGGCGAAGAAGGAGAAGTAAAATCTATAAAGAGCTTACTATGTGCCAGACACTGTTCTAAACATTTTCCTTATATTAACGAATTTAATCCTTACAATTATCGCATGAGGCAGGTATTAGCATTGCCCCCACCTTACTGATGAGGAACTGGAGGCACAGTTTTGGAAACTTGCTCAAGCTCATCAATCTAAAACCAATAAAAAAATAAAAAAAAAAGGAACCCTGGTGGTGCAGTGGTGAAGAGCTCAGCTGCTAACCAAAAGGTCAGCAGTTTGAATCCACAAGCTGCTCCTTGGAAATCCTATGGTTCAGTTCTACTCTGTCCTGTACGATCACTATAAGTTGGAATCAACTCATCAGCCTAGAAGTGGCAAAGCTTAGATTCGAAACAAGAGACTCTGTCCCCAGACATGCCCTCCTCAACCGTCTCCCAGGCACTTAAGGGTAAAGACTTCACCTCCCACCTCCCCTCTCCACTTCAGCCTGACAAAACCTGTGCCAACAGCTATACCTGCTCTCCTGCTCACACCTCTGGCAGGGTCAGAGGGTGAGGGTGAAGGGGAGGGAAGGAAGGGCAGTTCCAGCCCTCTCCACCAAGGTCTTCACCAAATGCCAAAGGGATTCATGGCCCTAAGGAAGAATCCCCTCCAGAGAGAGACTGAGCCCCAGGACCCAGAGGTCCCACCAAGGGGAAGACTTACCTGGCCAGTGGCAGCTGTGTTGCCAGTGGCTGCGTTCTAGCCACGGTGCCTTCTCTGGCTGCACTGCTCCTGCGCAGATTGGGGGAACTGCTGGCTGAGCGTCGGGGTGCTGGCCTGGAGTTCTGGGGGTCGAATTCCTCCTCTGGAATGACCTCCTCGCAGCGGGCTCCGCGGAAGCCTGAGCGGCAGACGCAGAGCTGGGGCCGGCTGCAGGAGCCCCTGTTCTGGCATGGCGGCTGGCAAACGGCTGAGGAGACAGGGAGAGGGGTGACAACAGGGTCCAGGGAGCCCAAGGGCATGGGCTGCTCTGACACCCTCCTGTCGGAAGGGCCCTCCTGCTCAAGGGAGAGTGCTGCTTGGCCTCTGTACTCAAGCAGGAAGCCAAACTCCTGGTCTCAGAAGACTCCTTGGCCCATTTCTCTCTCTCCTCCATCCACAAGCCACCAGGATGAGGTACACCTTTGATCTTTGGACAACCAACCCAAGACTAAATGACCAGGGTCGTGAAGTGGGCTGACACCACCACTTGAGGCAGACACCCTGAGAGGGAAGTTCCTTGTCTGACATTATATTACAGCATACACTTAAATGTTCACTTTCTGTTATCCGTCTCTCCTACCATACAGTGAGCTCGATGAGGGCAGATGCTTTGTTTGGTTCCCTCCTATAGCTCCAGAGGAGCCCAGGTGGCACAGTGGTTAAGAGCTTGGCTGCTAACCAAAAGGTCAGCAGTTCAAATCCACCAGCCACTCCTTGGAAACCCTATGGGGCAGTACTACTGTGTCCTATAGGGTTGCCATGGCTCGGAATCAACTTGACGACATCAGGTTTTTTACAGCTCCAGAACTTAGAAGAGAGACTGTTATACAGTAGACTCTCAATAAATATTGAATTAATTAATTAATTAATTAGGGAAGGGAGGAAGGAAGGAGGCAATCTATTTTACAAGAAAAGGCTCAGCACTGGTCTAAAAGTTAGGAGATTTGTGTCGCTGGGTTTTTTTCTGTCACTCACGAGTTACATGGTCTTGAGCAATTCACCTGAACTCTCTGAGTCTCGGTTTCCTCATAAATCACATGAGGGTGGACTGAGGGGGCTGGAGGGACTCTAAGGGTCTCTTGAAGGCATCTTCATCATGACAGAGTCTCTCCTTTTCTGACCTGGGCAAGAGAGAGCATCTGCTCTCAATCTCGCAGCTCCCTTAAAACAAGGGGTGGAATCCCTGACTGGGGTGTTCCGGACCCAGCCTGGGGGCCAGGTGGGGCTGGAACTTGGCCCCTTCCTCCAAGCCAACATTTTCAGTAGCCACCTGTTCACCACTCAGACTGTGACTTCTCTCCTCACTGTCCTTCACCTTGCAAAGTCCGTGGCCACATGCAGTGACCAATGGCCAAGGTAGAGTGACATGCAGAGGCACATGCTGGGGTGTGGAGCTCTTCTCCACCCCTCCCCAAAACCTCACCTGGGAACATATATGACCCAAGAAGAGTGTGGTCTGGCTCATACTGGACCCTCTAAACCCAAGTGTCTCATTTATCTGTACCTCATTCATTCAACAAATATTTGTGGAGCCCTACTACTTGCTAGGCTTTGGGGACAAAGTGCTTGCCCTACATGGAGCTTACAGTCGAGAGGCGAAGAATGACAAGAAACAAGAAAACAACAGTATGATGTACTTTCAGGCAGTACCAAGGGCTGTGAAGACAATTAAACAGGGTGGTGCAGTGGTCTGTGCCTGAGGCAGGAGATTTAGTTGGGTGGTCAGGGCAGGTCCCTCCGAAGGGTGAGATGTGGGTGGTGAGAAGGGGAAGATAGGAGAATATGAGGTCTTCCAGGAAGAGGGATAGGCGAGTGCAAAGCTCTGGAGGCTGGAAAGAACTTGGCATGTTCAAGATGTCCAGGGAGGATGGGGTCTCGTGACAGACGGGAGAGTAACACAAGGTCAGGAGGGACACAGAGGTCAGATTACGCAGACCCCTGTCATCTAGGTAGGGAGTTTGGTACCAGTCACTGCTACCCAGACCAAGTGCCTGGGATTCCATGAGCTGAACTCTCCTTTCTGAGAACAGGCCTAGAATCCAAACCTAGGGACCGGCCTGGATAAATCTCTCCAAAATTTCACTTGGCCCATATCACGTCCCTTTCAGAAACCTTCAGTGGCTCCTCAGTGCCTTCAGTATTCAAGTACATAGACTAGCACTGAAGGCTCTGCCCAGTCTGAACCATCCCTAACAATGCCTCTAAGTAAACATATTCCAGACGAACTGGCCTGCTGGCTCTGGCTCAAGACAGCCTCTGCCTTCCTTTCTCTCTGCCTTTGCTTGTGCTGTTTCCCCTCCCTGGAATTCTGTCCCTGTTTGTCTCCACTTACCTAAGGCCCACCTCCCCTTTCCTGATGACCCACCTCTCAGTGACTGCTCCCTTCTCTGAACAACTAGGAATAGCACCTACTATGTACATCACTCACTGGGCATGCCTCTGTGCCACCTTCAGTGCTATGGGTTTTTTGGTTTGTTTTGCAACCATCACCACTATTTCCAAAGCTTTTTCATCACCCCAGACAGAAACTCTGTACCACTAAGCAATAACTCCCCAGTCTCCACTCCCTTCAGCCCCTGGTAACCACTAATCTATTTCTGTCTCTACGTATTTGTCTATGGTGCGGTAGGAATGCTGCAAACCAAAAGGTCAGTAGTTCGAATCCACCGGCTGCTCCTTGGAAAGCCTATGGGGGCAGTTCTACTCTGTCCTATAGGGTCGCTATGAGTCAGAATATTGACTCGATGGCAATGGGCTAGCATCATGCAATTTGTGACCTTTTGTGTCTGACTTCTTTCACTAAGCACAGGGTTTTCAAGGTTCATCCGTGTTGTAGCGTGTATCAGAACTTCTCTTCTCTTTTGGCTGAATGATATTCCATTGTTTGTATGTGCCATATTTCGTTTATGCATTCATCTGTTGATGGACACTTGGGTTGTTTCTACCTTTTGGATTTTATGAATAGTGCTGCAGTGAACATTGGTATGCAAATGTCCATTTGAGTTCCTGCTTTCAGTTCTTTTGGGTATATAACCAGGAGTGGAATTGTTAGGTCATAGGATAACTCTGTGTTTAACTTTTTGAGAAACTGCCAAACTCTTTTCCACAGTGGCTACACCATTTTACATTTCCACCAGCAACGGACAAGGGCTCCAGTTTCTCCACATTCTCACCAACACTTGTTATTTTCCATTGTTTTTTGTTTGTTTTATAATAGCCATCCTATGAAGTGTGAAGTGGCATAGGCTTTTTATGTATGTACCTCAGTTCCCCAACTAATATGGTCAGCCCCTGGAAGTGTTGTGATTGTCCCTTACACCTCTTTGTATCCTTAGCTCCTAGCACGATGCCTAACAATAATAAAATTATTATTATTGTTACGGCAGCTACTGTCTACTGGGTGCTTACAATATGCCAGGCACTGTATTTGCATACACTATCTCATTTAATCCTTACAGCAATCCTATGCAGCAGGTGCAGTTATGATACCCATTTTACAAGTAATGCCTCTGAAGCTCAGAGAGTTGAAAGAGTTGCCTGAGGTCATCCAGCTAATCAATGGTGGAACTAGGATTTGAATCCAACCTGGGCTCTATCCAACCCACCAGCACCCCAGGGTATGGGCCATAGAAGGACTGGTGTGGTTCTTAAACTCCCTGCCATCTCTGAGCCTCCGCATGGAGCTGATGATGAAACAAAAGGGATCTGTTGACTTTAAGTCATCTACCAGCCCACCTGTGTGACATGGAAGCCAGGACACACAAGTGGTGTGGTTAGTGCTGGGTCAGCAGGTTAATGCTGGGTCACCCAGGCTAAGGTAGGGAGTAGGGAGATCCGGAGAAGGCAAGGAGAAAGTGATGCGGCCCAGAGTCCCAAAAGGTAAGTAGGTTGGGATCAAGCCCAACAAGTGCACCCAAGGGCTAGCCTGCCTATTCAGGGGTGGGCAGTGAGGAGATTAAGGAAATATCAGGTCTCACTCCAGGATCTCGAAGGAGCCCACAGATGGATCCCATGGCCAAAGCGTCTTCCTCAGGGGTCCAGATTCCTTTCTGGCAGGCCTTAGGGCCTCCTGGATAGCAAACCATGTCAGAGTGTTGTAACCCAGAGCACTCCCCCAAACACAAACTACAACATCGGCAGGATTCTGGCCCATCACCTGGCCAGCACTCCATCTGCCCAAGCTGACTTAGCCACCCCGTCACCAACACCACCAGAAACACAGCCGCCAAACCATGGCCAGCAAGCACAGGGGGACAAAGATGTGCCCAGGATGGGCCTTGGCCCTGGTTTTGTGGAAGGGCAGGGAGTAGAAAGGGAAGTCCTGAGTGGTTTCCCAAGTGGATTGTGAGTGCTGCACTACTCCTAGCACCTGGGACCCAGACTTCCCTGCAGGCAGAGACCCAAAGCCTGGCGAGGGTGTGCGAACAGAGCATGTAGCCTCTTGCAGACTCACTTCCACATCTGAGTGGGTGGTCCTTTCCCTTAAGATGGCCCTTAGAAAGAGTCTAGCTTGGATTCTTCCCCTCTGGAGCTCTGGGATGGCCCATCCTTGACTTTAAGATCTTTCACTCTCTAGAAACCCAAGGCAAATGGTTAATGTGCTCGGCTCTCACCAAAAGGATGGAGGTTCAAGTCCATCCAGAGGCACCCTGGAAGAAAAGCCTGGGGATCTACTTCTGAAAAATCATCCATTGAAAACTCCATGGAGTACAATTCTATTTTGACACACATAGGGTCACAGTGAGTCAGAGTCAACTTGACGGCAACCGGTATATAGAAACCCAAGATCCCAAATCAAGCTCCCGCAGGCGATCCTATCTCATTTGCAAATACGCTCCACAAGCATTCATTGAGCACCTTCTCTAGATCAGACTGGGTGCCAGGGGCACAAAGATGAATAAGACAAATCCCTGGTAGAAAGTCTGCCCAGTGGTGTGTTCTCAATAACCATGGGAGCCCCGTGCCAAGCAGAGAGTTAGGTCCTCAATGAGGCCCATGAATGGCAAACTTTGGTTGGTACAATTAACAGCTTATAGAGAATGGGTGATTAGGAAGAAAGCTATTAAAATGGCACTTTACAGATGTATATAAAATAGTAAATAAAAGTTCTGCAAGGCATCAACTTCCAAACCAGCCAGACTTGTTGGCAGAAAAACCCGTTCGGGAAGACAACCCTTCTGGATCAACCATTTAGGAAACTTTGCATAG